AATTCTAGGTATCTGCAGTAACGTCCCTCTGATGGTTTACAGGCATAAAAGTTATTGCAGAATATGTCCTTGTGCATATCTGTGCTCCAGAACTGCTAATGTAACTCAGATGCAGCCTAAGGCCTCATTCACAATGTGTGGTTAGCCCCTGGCATTGGAAGGCACAGGCATGCTATCCAGCACTGCCATTAGCAGCCTGAGGCACAGGGACTAAACATCTAGTTTGAATGAAGACTAATACTACGTTACTGTTTATTCCTAATTACCTGCAACCATTTAAGGCTTGTTAGCCATCATCATAGTAATGTCTGGACACCATGGTTTCTGTAGGGTAGAGCTGGATCTGAAATGGCCTAATTAGCAGGATTTAATTTTTATTGACCATAGCATTCCTATACCTACAAGCAGCAGAGAAAAGGAGTTTACTATTTGATTGCACTGCTTGTGAGTTATATGTTTAGTTCTCTTATAATCTGTTATTATGATTGCACTCCCGGCACAAAGACTGGGGTGTCACTGATATCCCTGGGATCCGTTCTAACGATCGGGACCTGGGACTCCTGATTCCGGGTCACATGATCGCTGTGATAGCCTCTGATTGACTATCACACTGGTCAGTCACTGTGATGCCCCCCTTGCTTTTTTTCCTTCTGAATGGAGGAGAGAGATACATTGTATCTCTCTCTCTCTCTCTCTCTCTCTCTCTCTCTCTCTCTCTCTCTCTCTCCTTGTGTAGAGGGAAAAAACTGTAAAAAAAAAAGACAAATATTAATAAATAAAGAAAAAATACATAGATCAAGGTTTGATCTAGTTCAGTGCCAAGGGTTGGTGTTTGAGTCAGGATTTTTTAATTTTTATTATTTTTTTAAACCACATAGAACAAAATACGCACTGTTTCTGGGCTGTAGTACAGGTACAAACAACAAATAACATACACATATCTGGAAAATGTATTTTGGGTTGTTCTTTGGTGGTAGGTTATGGCAGTAACAAGAGACAGACAGCCAAATTTAAAAAATGATTTTTTTTTTCACTATTTTTGGGCCAGTTTTCCTTTGATTAAAAAAAAATCAGGAGATATCTATTACTATTTACTACCAAATGAAAGCCCAATTTGTCCTGAAAAAAACAAGGTATAATTCACCTGGATGTACAAAGTAGTTGTGGTGATATGTACGGTTTTACGAACACATGTCAAAGTTGTAAGATTTTACTTAGGCTTTAAGATTTGTTTTACCCTTAGGGGTGAATGGGGTTAAAAAGTAGCCAAACAACTATGTGATAATAAATGGCTTCATATGATCACTATCCTTAAATAAAATACAGTTTTTGGCATGATCAGTCATATTTTCAATGTAAATGACAACATTTTACAATTTCTGCCTGGATATGCAGTTTTGAGCACAACTGTATTACAATCCGGGGATCAGTAAAAGCATGTATTAGCCTCTCAATGTGATCAGAGCAGTTCTAACAAGCAACATGGATGTGCAACCTTTGATACCTAATCATGCTGCTATTTGAGCAACTTTCTGCTTTTTTTTGGTTTGCAGTCATGAATTTCCACTTTTCTCAATACTACCTTTTCTCGCATTGTTTATTCGATAATTGGATGTTATAATATATGCAGTTTTTCACATATTAGATTTTTTTTATTTGATAATTAAAGTTAGCTTAATTGAAAGATATTACTATTTCTACTTTGCTATGAGTATAAAGATCCTGTTGACCTTGGGCCTACTTTGGATTTGGTTGCAGCCTGCCTGCAACAGGTTCATTCAGCTGTGTTTTATGGTGTAGTCATCTATCTCAGGCAAAATCAGCCAGGAGTTATTTTTTGTCTGGAAGTTCTACTAATAGACCTTCAGCTGGCTTCCCTCTACCTATCTGCTTCTACTTCTGTAAACTCTACTTTCCATGGGCCAGCTGTTCATGTAAGGAGATGTGCTTCAGCTTACATCCTGGTTGCAACCGCAGTGATTTCCCCAATCACTGATAATCACAAAGCAACAAAGGGACTTGGGTTGAAGTGATAGGCAGTTCTTTCAAAAGAAGGACACTTACCCTAGGTTCACATCTGTGCGGGTGGTGCCGCTGTGGATCCACACAAAAATCCGTGCAGCCGCACCACCCGCACAGAGAAATGCGAACCGCCGGCGGGTGCCATTAGTTCTAATGGCACACTGCCCGCACTGGAAAACGCAACCGTACTGGGAACCGAGGTTCCCGTGCGGGCTGCGTTTTCCAAAGAAGTGCAGGGACTTCTCCCCTGCGTGTCACGGGCACGGGAGTCCATTCAAATGAATGGGCTCTCGTGCCCATGCAAAATGCGGCCTGTATGGCCGCATATATGTGAACTGGGGGTCAGGAACTAAAAGAGCCATTTGCCCACTTTAGTTAGTCATTGCAATGTGCTGAAAAGCCTGATTTTCAGGCAATGTCACATGCCTCACCAGTAAGCAGACAGTGATTTATTTTTATACATATAAAGATAAAAAGGAAATAGTAAGCATTCTAGAAATTATTAGAGATCAACCTGTCATCTAGACAAACTTGCCAAAACATTTCCGTGTGGTTATTTAACATTTCTTTGTCCAAAATATAGTAAGCTAAGCATTTCTGTTAGAGCTATTTACATCCAGCCAAGACCAGATTTCCATCACTGGAGCCTGTAGGCATGATACCTTTGTCAATCAAATCAACACCCCTCTGATATGGATGAGAAAATTTTCTTGTATTACTGGTCCATCCACAGCTTAAAATACTGTGTAATAAGTTTATATGAGATTTGTGTGTTTCTGACAATGGATAAAATAAATGATTGCTGTTATGGAAATGGCACTGTTTTGCATCTGCTGCTTTTTGGCACTTGCCTATTATGGCAACTGGTGAATCTAGAGCTGCAGCCAGATGCAGCGTCCATAAATGCTCTAGTTTTGTATACAAATAATCACACAGATCGTGTTTGCATGCTCCTGGAATTGATTAAAGAAGGTCTGAATATGCTAGCAGACCAACTAAGGCCATGCCTGGGTGAAAAAACCTTTAGAGAAGGTGCCAGCTAAAAAAATGCACCATGTACTGTTGCTAAGTTTATTGTTTGCATCTGATAAGCTGAATGCATTATAGGTTAAGAGAAATATTCTAAGGACTACCTCTAGTAATCAAAAGTTTTCCCTAAAGTGGTCAGTGATAGATTGTAGGGAGGGCAGAACGGGCGGATGCTCGACTTCAGGGGGGATGATAAAAATGTCCTGCACGACCAGTGTTAACCTTGTATTATTCTCGATAAAAGGTTTCTTTATAGTGTAACTGAACTCAAAAAATGAACATTTGCTATGTTATAGAGAACATTTGAAAATAGTAGTTTTATCTAAGCAGTACACTGAAAATATATCCTTTTTACCTTGCATTCCTCCTTAAAAATAGCAGTGGACTCCCTGTTATGTGAGAGAGTCTAGGCACTCCTGTGGCTACAGCCTTATAGCGGTATGACTGCAGTGTGAGATCTAAGGTACTGCTGTCTTTGACTGCTAGTCTTAGCAGAATAGGAGTGAGATTTGGGGATATCATCATTGTACCACTCATGATTCTGCATGCTGGAGGCTCTGCATCAGGAAGCAAAGCCCTGTCTCTGCCAACATAGCTGCCTTCTTCAGAGGCATCTTGCATGGTAAGCCAGTGGGAGAATATCCATTGTACCACAGCAATACTGCTTACTAGTCATTGGCCCTCTGCCTGCCTTTTTTTTTTAGTTACAGCTTTTAGTGTTCATTAGCCCCGTTAATCAAAAGGTTATAAATTATATGTGTGTAAAGACCCATACTTCTCAACATATTCATTCCAGTCCCTGGGATACTGTCACCCTGTCCATGGCCCACATTTAAAGGAGAAGTGTGGGATACTAAAAAAACATTCATACTCACCTCAGTGCTGCAACAGTGGTCTGATGTTGCAGCTGTCCCCCACCAGCTTCCAGCCTGAGAACTGATCACTCAATCCCCAGTTCGCTCTTTGTAGAGAGTAGAGTAGAGAGTGGTGACTGTCTGTCCCGCTCTTTGCTCTTCCCCTCCAGAGCTCACAGGAGCACGAAGCTGGAGAGGGAGTGGGAGCAGCTGGCTCAGGCTCTCAGTGGCGAGCTGAAAGGCTGAACCAGCTGCTGACCAGGCACCTGAGTAGATCCTGATATTATTGTCTGGATCCTTCCAGAGCCTGGAGTGGCTCTGTGATTCAGTTGACAGCAGACTTTAGCCCACTGTCAATTGCTCTTGGGTCACAGAAAAGCAAAAGTAAATGCACTCCTGTGACCTAAAACAGAAGTATGGCTAAAAAACTTTGACCATACTTCTCTTTTAATACTTCCTCCTTTCGGACAGTCTGCCCAGACCATGGCCATAAATTATGCAGGAGCTGTTCACTTGTAGCTGAGATCTGACTTAGTTGCATACTCATTAACTCAAATGAGCATGATTCTGTGATCTTGCGAGGCAGCCTGGGACACAACATTATTGGGACAGAGCAGCTAGATATGGGAATGTCCTGGGGAATCTGGGACACTTGGTATCTCTATATTCCCCGTACCTGAAAGCATTATGTCCATATTATCTGTCACCATCATATGAGTAATTTGCAGAGTATACCTTAGCACACAGGTGTCATACTGGCGGCCCTCCAGCTGTTGCCAAACTACAAGACCCATGAGGGCCCCCAGTTTGACACCCCTGCCTTAGCTTAAGATCCAATTAAAATTTTAAACACTGAATTCAAATCTTACAGAAATGTTTTAAAAATATATGTCTGAAGCCTTATGCAAAATTTAGTGTTACTAAAATCAGTCTGTATATGCAGTAGAGCATGCTTGTTATACTCACTGTGGAACCTAAGGGGTTAACCCTCTGCATTGTGTAAAAAGGCTGTTTGATCCTGTCTTCTCTGATCTTCTCCTTCTACTGTCCCCAGTCCATCTGCTGATAGAACAGAGCCTTGGGGGTAAGCTGCACATGATCAGTTTGGTGTGCATTGCTAGAGAGGTTTTTTCTCTTGGGAGAGTGCATGTGATCAGCACAGGGCCAATCAGTGCTGTCCAGACAGAGGGTCAGGGGCTATGCAGCCTCACAGGACAATCAGGGAAGAATGAAAACTCCTCCTACATTCTTTAACCAGTACTCTGCTGGAACCTGAATTCACAAGACTGCGCTATCTGCTGATGGGAAAAGGTGTTTAGCAGTTTATATTTACTAAAATAATTGCATTTCCTTGTTCGCTGTACAGTGGGAGGCTAGATATAGTGAATGCAGGGTCCTGGGTTTAGTAACACATTCATTTCACTGTCTGGGGGGGCACAGTACAGTTATTCATACACTGCCTGCAGTGCATAGCATCCCTTGACCCTTGCTTAAACGCTGATGGGCATAGAGACTACCATTTTTATACTGTAAGGTGCATGGGTGACACTTGATGGCTGAGGCTTCTTCCATGTTTGGATTTTTTATAGAGATGAGCCTAGGAATAAAGGTCATGTGAAATAAATGTAATCTCTGGTGGACATGTCATTCTTTAATATTCTTATCATTGAGATCTGTATTTTTAACTTCCAGCTTCCTGGAGACTTGGCAATGTAGAATGCTCAAAGCAGTGTCTGCCAAGCTGAGATGAAGGTATCTCCTGTTTTACATATAATTGCACACAATGCTGGGCATACAAATTTACCAGCAAAAATGATTAACTAGGTGACTTATTATACCGCCTAAATCAATATTTCTTACTGGCAAGCCTTCAAGATCACCTTGTTATGCTTGTTAGGAATTGTTTATTAAAGAGTTTCTCAATCCATTGTACGTGTATAGGATCAGGAATCATCTTAGAATTAGCTTTAAGTTACAAGTAATAAATATTGGGTAAAACACACTGCAGTAGAACCAAATGTTAAATGTGAAAAATCTCTCACAAACCGCTAAATAGCTACCCGAAATACATATATAAAGGCTGTTTAACCTACAACAGGATTTGTAATTTTAATTTCCTGAGATTTACACAGCGCTGCTGACAGCACAACCTGACTGGTGACATGAATTTTTTTCTGCTGTAGTTGTGCATTATAGCTTAGTCACTTCCCTGCCCTCAGCCTGTTATTGGACACAAAAGGAGTAACAGCAGACCAGAAACGGTGAACACGTTCATTTGCTCACCCTGCGGTCTCCTCTTTGACAGCACATGCGCTTGCAGCAGAGCCTGCAACTGTTTGGCAGGCTGTGCACTTTAAAACAGACCCTTACACTCCTATTCAACATTAAGTATTTTTATTCCCTATGCATAGTATTAGTAAATAGATAGGAAGGTACAGTATATTATAATTACTAGTTTTAACTTTTTTTTTTTTTTTCATTTCTTCAGTTGCCTAATGGCCTAGGCCAAAATTGTCATACTTCCAAGCACTATTTAAGGGCATTTTTTTTCTTTCATCTGGAGGAGGGGAGGAGGGTGCTTTCTCAGCTTAGCACACCCTCCTGCTTGTGTGCCTGAGCTAAGGGCAGATGGATTCTAAGAATTATGTGCTACATGATTCATCTTCCCCTACTCAGGATAGCTGCAGCTAAAAATGATAGTGGGGTGAATTTCAAAGTGATTTCTAAAAAAAAAAAAACGCATGGAGACATGGATGGACTGGTGAGTTTGCTATGAATATTAAAAATTAATTAAATGGCATTTTCAGTTTGTAGTGTTCAGATACAGTTTGTTTCCGCTTTAATGTCAGTTGCCTAGGGATAGTATTAGAGTTAAATGAAAAAAAAAGTATTAAAAAAAAAAAAAATAAAATGAATGAAAAAAATTGAAGAACCCCTACCTACATGCTCGCACATACTTAAACATATACACACCAAAGATGCATGTTTGCACATAAACTCTGATTGCCTTAACACATATTCAGTATCACTCCACATGCCTGGGTGAGAGGAATAATTGTAGAGCCATCATTTACAGTTAAGGCTAACTTACCAAGCTGCAAAGCAGGGGTGTCAAAATCAATTTCATTGCGGACAGCATTATGGTTGCGTTCAAAGGGCCGGCTGTATCTGTAAGACTAGATGTCCAAAGCACTCCATTCCCACCTATCTCAGATGTCAAGAGCCCCCCACCATCAGAAGTCAAGAGTCCCCCATCCTCCCTTACATCACAAGGCTTCCCCCTTACCTGGTGATGCTGCTGGAAGAAGCTGGGGGCAGAGATGAAGCAGAAAGTGCAGGGTCTGGAGGAGGACTGGAGTGAGCTACCAGAGTCTGTTGAATGCTGAGGCCAGGGGAGAGGGAGACAGGTGGGGGGGCTGCAGTTGCACAGATAGGTAGAGACGAGCTCCTCCAGAGCTGCATGGAGAAATGCAGGATTTAGCGGAGGAGTTTTGTCATCCTCTCTGTTACTGACTGCTGAGACAAGGTGGGGGTAGAGACAAGAGGGGTGCCACAGCTGCAGGAGAGGTGTGAGGGCCACATGAAATGGCCTGGTGGGCTGGATTCAGCCCTCGGGCCTTGTGTTTGACACATGTCCTGTAAAGGCTTGCTTATGGACATTTTGGGGTATTGTAGTTTTTCGCTGTTTCACATATTAAGTATCTTGTCTTTTTTATTTTAAGGAACAAAATGGGAATTATATTGTGTTTTGTGTGCACTAAAATCAATTTTAGTGAACTTTTGCTGAAAATATGTATTTGATAATTAGTTGCGCAAGTATCAAGTGACAGAAAATATATGTTTCCACTCTATAGGTTCTCTGTTTTCAGGACCTATGTGATGTTTTGGTGTGTTTAGTCATCTTCTGGTCTAAAATGTGCGAGTTAGAATGTTTGTAAAAAAAAAAGAGAAAATTGGAAACGTTGTAATATAATAAACTGGAGAAACAGGTGCAATACAACTGTCATATAATTATACACACATCATTTCTGAAACGGCCACACTCTTCTGTATCTCGACCTTCTTTTCTATTGTATTACTTATCATTGTTAGATGTCTGTTGGACTGGAATGTATATGTGTGTGTGTGTGTGTGTGTGTGTGTGTATGTATGTGTGTGTGTATGTGTATATATATATATATATATATATATATATATATATATGTATGTTTATGTATATATATATGTGTATATATATATATATACTGTCCATCACATTCGTCTTTAAGCCCCATATACATGGGCCTGAATATCGGCCAGTATTGGCTGGTTCAACAGAAAACGGCCACCTTTCGGCCTGTATTTACATCAGCGTATCTGACAGAAACCGATGGAACGGCCAGATTCTGTCACACATGTGGAAAACCAGCAAGCGATTGACATCCAATCAGTGCTGGCAGCTAATGACTGTGAGCACTGATCAGTGTGTTCTGGCAGGGGGCAGTCCCCTATCAGAACAGCTCAACGGGGAGATCGCTGTACTGACATCGGGTAGTACAGCGAGCACCCCTGAGCTCTTCGTTTTTTTTTGTTTTTTTTTCATTCAACCCACTGTGTTGAACAGGAAAAAAATGATTGTATGTATCAGGTATTAGCAGTAATGCCATAAACAACAGATACAGCCTTTTCAGGGAAGGGGTCATAGATAACTCTTTTATCATAGTTTCATAGCATCATAGTTTACACTCACCGGCCACTTTATTAGGTACACCTGTTCAATTGCTTGGTAACACAAATTGCTAATCAGCCAATCACTTGGCATCAACTCAATGCATTTAGGCATGTACCTGAGGTGAAGACAACTTTTTAAATTTCAAAGTGAGAATCAGAATGGGGAAAAAAGGGGATTTAAGTGATTTTGAACGTGGAATGGTTGTTGTTGCCAGATATGCTGCTTTGAGTATTTCAAAAACTACTGATCTATTGGGATTTTCACACAACCATATCTAGGGTTTAGAGAGAATGGTCCGAAAATATCCAGTGTGCGTCAGTTGTGTGGCGGAAATTACTTTGTTGATGCCAGAGGTCAGAGGAGAATGGGCAGACTGGTTGCTGCGAAATTCAGATGGTAAGGTCAGAATTTGGTGTAAACAATATGAAACCATGGATCCATCCTGCCTTGTATCAATGGTTCAGGCTGGTGGTGGCGGTGTAATGGTGTGGGGGTTACTTTCTTGGCACTGGCAAGGTATATGTAAAAAAGTGGCCAGTGAGTGTATTTTATTTATGTTTTTGGGGTTTATTTTTGAGAAGTACAAAGAGAGATCACACAAACATTTGCTGGTAAAATCAAACTATATAAAACATTAAATTAAGTAATGAAAGATAGAGCTAACAAAAGTAATAATATTGAAAAATGTACCAAAAATCTTAGCTATAGATGCTTTTCGACAAGGAGTCCCACCCGTTTCCAAAGGCTTGGCAGATGATCAAACCAGACATAAGCATGTAGCAGCCCTGGTAAGAGACTAACTTGTTCTAATTTTGGCTGTGTTATATACAGGTATAAGTGGTAGTATTGACCAATTGTAACCCCTGGAAAGTAGTATTACCTTTTAAGGAAGATAGCACTCATTCCTGGAGGGGCTTGGTCAGTTTGTAGTAAGGACTTTCCTGTAGTATTTGGTCAGTTCGTTAGGTGAAAACCATCCCTCATCTACATTCTTATGTATTAGTATACCATGACTAGAGAAAAAATTCAATTTATCCATCAATGACCAGAAACAAAAAGTTGTGAATCTTTGGTGTTCCCCTGTTTAAACAAAATCCCCTATCTACTTCTCCTGACCTGACCTCCTCCATTATTACCTATACATGACCTAGCTTCCCCCCATGGTGCATATTTTCATCTTTAACCAACAAGTACAAATGACAAATGACACTTTTAGGCTACATTCACATGGACTTAAAACATTTACTGATTTTATTATGCATGTTTTTTCTTGCACGAAACTTCCTGCATAAAGATAAGTATTACTTGCATAAAATTGTTGTCTAGCATGGGAAAAGCATATGTCAACCACGGCTCCCAGATTTTAAAAAATTTGCGTTGGGAGTAATTGAGGATACTCGACATCTGTTCATTAAGCATCAGAGTGGACCTGCGGTCCCACACCCTCTGAAGAGGGACAGATGTACTTTTCCAGGCTTGAGCAATTGTTCTAGTTATCGCCAAGAACAAATATGAGGCCAACTTCTGCTGGTGAGCCAACAGGCCCGGTATGGGATAATGAAGCAAAGCATACCGGGCTTCCCGGCATATGGAGAGATTAAACAATGTGTAGAGAAGGCAAAATACATGATACCAAAACCGAATCAAACTATGGCATGACCACCATATATGTAACACATCTCCACGATGGCCACAACCCCAAAAGCAGTGATCACTATGAGTAGGGTTCGCCTGAGCTATACGAGCCGGGACTCAATACCAACGGAACAGCACTTTGTATGCCGCCTCCAGCGTGTTTTGTGTTGAATGAATATTTAGCTATAAATGCCCAGGCCTTATTTCAGTCCTCTGGATCCATGACCTCCCCCAAATCACGATCCTATTGGGTGACATACGATAGGGAAGTAAGCGTTGAGCACCTTTTCAAGGATGCATAGAGTAGGGAAACAAGACCCAGGGTGCCAGGACACTGTTGGCAAAGCTGTTCAAAGGTAGATTTCTGATATGGAAAGGTGGAGGTGCCACGCAGCGAGGTCATCCAAGGCCGCAATTGAAGATAACGAAAAACTCCACCTGGGGTACATCCCGTGATTCCCGAAGAGAAATTCAGGTCGGGAAAGACCGGGAAGTGAAGAAGTGTTGCACCTGCGAAAAACCATTGGCCACCCACCAAGAGAACACTCCAGGTTGATCTAAACCGAGTCTCATACGTGCAGGCCATGGAGCAAAATCGGACTCATTGTCATCAGGTGTAGGGCAGGGGGGAGCCATAGAAGCGTTGATGTCGCAATAGGGGCACAATTAGGTAGTTCCAAAAGAACCCAGAGAGAAGCATCAGAGGAAGCATGCAACAGTGGGGCAATCTGGCTCGCCTGATAATACTTGGCTACATTAGGCATCCACAGACCTCCCTGCAGTTTATGAAAAAAATGCGTATTTCTGGAGACTCTGGGGCACCGGTCAGCCCAGATAAATTGCATAATCCTCGCCTGAATCAGCCAGAGGAAATAAGAAGGGACCTGCACTGGGAGGGTGCAAAAATAATATAATAATTTCGGCAGGATAGTCATTTTCACCGAATTAACTCATCCTATCCACGACAGTAACGGGAATTGCCAAGAGCGCATAAGCGAGGACACGGAGCGAAACAATGGGAAATAGTTCACAGCAAACAGAGAGCCATAGGTGGGGGTCAGGTGAATGCACAAGTATTCAAGCGAAGCTGAAGCCCACTTGTAAGGAAAGTGGGACTGTAGGCGTGAAACCAAATCCGAGGCCAAAGTGATATTGAGAGCGACAATCGGAACCACGGAACACTTAGGGTGTGGGGTATGATAGGTGTGTGATCTTCCTTCAAGAGATAGGGCAGCACAGTGGTGAATCTGTAGATTTTGGTGAAGTCTGCTCATCCAAAGGTCCCCTTTAGGATGGATGGGTCTGCAACCTGCTTACAGGGATTCCCTTCTCTGGGTACTGGATCAGTAAGGAACTTCCACTGGCTCTGTAATTTAATGGCTCCATAAAAGAGCCATAAAAAGGTGCCCATAGTGTAGTATTCCTTTAGACTTTTATTCCATGGAAACAGGTAACAGTAATATACAGTATTGCAGAGTGAACTGACCATACATAAAGATGGCCGCCGGACCTGCACGTGGCTCTGGCAGCGTGATGTCACAGCATGTTGGTTCCTCCTTAGGCCTTTCGTGCCACGCACGTCCTCAGAGGGGAGACCAACCCCCTCTGATTATACCCCGATTACATCTTTGACCAATTCAATAGTGCTGAACTTTATTGATATACTTAGGAATAGTAACTAGATTGTGTGGATTGTGCTGTTACAGAATAGGGGGTGCCAGGTGTGTTGATCAAAGGAAAAGATGGTGGGCCAGGATTTGGGGAAACGTCTCCAAATGTTAGGAGAAGCAGAAGGGTGAGAGAGGTAATATGGGAGTATGACTTGTATGGAGGGACAGGTTTCAGTGTCCTGGAGGTTTTATTAGTATGTGGGTTCAGAATTATCATTTAAGACAATAATTACTGTATAAACCAGTGGTCTCAAAACTGAAGCCCTTTGCTTGCTTTTATCTGGCCCTTGGAGCACTATTTCATCCTCTGATACCAACAATGGGGCATAATTTCCCCTACTGACACCAATGATGGGGCGCAATTTCTCTCAATGACACCAACAATTGGGCACAATTCCTCCCATTGACACAAAAGATGGGGCATTTTTTCCCCACTGACATCGGGACCTTTTCTACTCCCAATGGCCACAGTCCAGTCCCCCTAAAGTCTGAAGGTCAGGAAATGTGACTGCCTAGGATGAGATGAGGTTATTGCTCTGGTGCAGGCATGAGGAAACATTTCCTTAGTCCCCGAATGATCAACCTGCAACAGTGTAAGTTTGCAGCAGGTCACATAGGGCACTTTGACACTACTGCAGTACTGTTTTCATGCAGCTTACCCGCGTGTATGGAATGGGTTATTTGTGCTTTCCCATACAGTTATATTGGGGTTGATTTACTAAAACTGCATGGTGTAAAATCTGGTGTAGCTCTGCATAGAAACCATCGGCTTCCTGTTTTTTTTTTACCAAAGCATAAAGTACTACTAAACCCACAGCAATAAAATCAGTCTGTATATGCAGTAAAGCATATACTCACTGTGGAACCTAAGGGGTTAATCCTCTGTATTGTGTAAAAATGCTGTTTGATCCTGACTTCCCTTCTACCAGTGTCTCCCTCTTATCTCCTGATAAGATATATCTTGTGGAGACACTCTGCACATACTCAGTTTGGTGTGTATTGCTTGAGAGGTTTTTTTTTTCTTTTCTTTGGGAGAGTGCATGTGATCAGCACAGGGATAATCGGCACTGTTCAGACAGAGGTCAGGGGTTCTGCATCTTCCTAGAGAACTCCTCCTACAAGCTGTAACCAGTGCTCTGCTGGGCACTGATAGAAGTCACAAGACTGCTCTAACTTCTGATGAGAAAAGGTATTTAGCAGTTTTTATTTACTAAAATAATTGCATTTCCATGTTCTGTGTACTGTGGGAGACCAGATATAGTGAATGCAGGGTGCTGGGTTTATTAACACTTTAACTGCACAAGCCGAAATTAAAAGCTGATTGGTTAGCATACAGAGCTGCATCAGATTCTGAGTGCTCCGGTTTTAGTAAATTAACCCCATGGTGTCCTGTATGTTTGGTGCGCTTTCTGAAGGCGCACCAAAATTCCTGCATGCTGCATCTTTAGTGCGCTGGTAAAAACGCACCGCAGCAGTGTGAAAAGGCTCATACTGAAAAGCTACAGCAGGGGCTTATATGCACTAGTCATTTGTGAAATTCACCAAGAACTGGAAAAGTACCACGATTTATATAACTGAGTCATCACTGAGCTTCCCAGAGAGAAAAGTATATGAAGGCAATGTCAGGGGGGAGTCTGTTATCTCTGTGGGAGGTAATAAATACCTGTAAATGTTACACTTGCACATTACTTAGCATAAATACATGTGAAGTTGTGACTACTATAATTGCATAAAATATGTGCTTACTAAAAATATGTTAAACATTCTTAGATACAATACAATTCTTCCTATGGTAAAAGCACAAAATACAGTAAACCTGTCAAGCAAGGTAAAGTATGTAAATCTGCTGTTAATACCCACCATTATCTGTGTGAACGTTCCTATGTCTATGCAAAACTTGACATATCAGATGTTTGATTTGCATTTGCAGTGAAGCTAAATGGAGCCCATTAGTCTGTTTTTTATGGGTGTACTATGTTAACAGTCATTTTAAAGACATATCAGTGGCTGCCTCCATTGCTGTCTTTAAAGGGACAGTCTACAAAAACTATATGTTTTTGGTAGATGGTGGAGAGGTAAACTATCTAAAGGTACCTTTTATATAATTTATATTCTATGTCTTGGGAATGTAAGTGGTAAGATCTCTGCACGTGATTTCTCAGGCCTGCACACCTGTTGTAGCTATTGTAGGGCGCCTTTCATTTATAGTGTAGGGTTTTTTTGTGCAACAGAAATAGAGGGAATTGCTCAGTGGAAAAATCATACTGCCAAGTGGTCTGGAACAGAGGCAGAGGCATTTTGGCAATTAAATCTCCTCCATTGCCCTAATGACGATGTCCGTTTGGATGAAATGCGACGGACGGAGTTACAGTGGTGACGTCATCACGCCAGCCGGGGTGCTGGATGCTGTGTATACAATATGCTTTGATACTGTGTCAAGATGTGAGTATATGTTTATTTTTAAAATAAAACCTACTTTTATTTACTGCACCATGAGCAATCCCCTTCCTTTGGCTATTTGGAGTAATTAATTCCCAGGGTTGTGCCTGGTGCATGGTAGCATAAGTCCTCATGCACACTTGACATTTTTACAGCTGCTGTTTTTGGCTTTTGATGTTTTTTTCTACAGTCAGTAAACCCCCCAGCATGTTATCCTATGTATCCATGCACACATAGAATGTAATCAACATTTTTTGGCTGGAAAAAAAAAAAACCAGGACTAGTGGGTTTCTAGAGGAGTTTTTTTTAGCTATAAAAACTCTCTAACACTGAAAAACACAGCAAAAAGTGGTAAAACAACGCAAACCAGCATTTTTTGGACTTTTTTTGAGAAAAAAATAGTTTTTTGATTAAAAAACGCTAAAAAAACGCTAAACATGGAAAACATCGCTAAACATTCATGCAAAGATGCTAAAAAAATATGAAAAATTTACGGTTTTAATGTGACTTTACACAGCTAACGTTACCAGCATTATCAAAACATCCCATGTGCATGAGGACTTAGGAGTAAGGAGTAGTATTATTACTGATTGTCCTAGCTGGGTGATTACAACTGGAGCTGAGCTGGGATGTATCCATTCATCCCTAGAGGTATCTCTTCTCTGTTACAGAGGTCTTTGTTTTCCATAAGAAGCTTTGAAATGCCCCTGTGGTGGTGTGCACAGCAATGAGGATTGGAGGCACAAGATCACTGTGTTTGCTGTCAGGCGAACATGTTGAGCAAATTTATTTCGATATAACACTTGGTTGCTCTTTGTCTATTTATGAACGTTTGAACACTTATTTATCCATTTGTTTGTATATTCATATATTTATTTCACTTTTCTTTCTGAATTTGTATCTATATATATATATTGATTATGGGTGAGAGTTTTTATTTATTTATGCACTTTATTGTTATTAAAGTTAATTCACAATTATTTTGACAGCGTAACACATTGGTTTGGTTGGTTTGAAATCTCACTGCTTGAATCTTCAAGAAATGTTAGAATCCTCGGACCAACAGATTTCACCTATGACTATAAAATATAACACTAATCCTTAAGAAAGCTCTTTGAAAAATTCTCTCCTGCCAAACCTGGAACTTCATATGGTTCCCTCTAAGAGAACATTCTGCTAAGTGTAATTTTGTCATTAGGGCTCATATCCACTGCTGGAAGCAACACATCAGCGGATATTTAGCACTTCTGTTGTGCTAAATGGGAGCAGTGAGATAGATGTATTATAAGGTTGTAACTTCATTAATACATTCCATACCTCCAATTTTATGAGATGGGAAAAAGGGGCACTTTCTAGCTCAAAGTATGTGGGAAAATGAAACACCCATGGCCTGCTGCCAGTTTTATGGACCACTTAAAAAAGATTTGGTAAATCCACAATTACTTTTTTCAGTATTACACACTAGTTTTTTTTTTTTTAAATAAAAATGCAAAAAGTAGAGGTTTGATAAATATTTAATGCAGTATAAAACTTGGTAGTGTATGGGGGACAGGCTTGACTGGTATTGGCAGTATTAAACCTTGCACAACGCAGGGACTCATTCAGGCAGGTTTGTACAGCATCTTTATTGGCAGCAACATGTTTCAATTCAGGAGAGAGAGAAATTGAAATACAGCTCTGAGCATGACATATATATAGGACAGTTGAGACTAGTAATGAGGTCTGGCTACTAGGCAAGATGTGGACCTAATGCAGGCCATACATGGGTCAAATTCTGACTGAATTTTCTTTAGAAAAACAAAAATTTTATGCGTTTTGTAATTTGATGGTGCCACCATTGATTTCGAAATTTGACCAACCAAGCCTTCAATTTCAGATCATGTTGCTACACAAAAGAATTTTCATAGCTGGGAATCTTCTTTTTTTTTCCAGGTCACAACTCATGCTCATTTCTTTTTTAATTATATTTATTGTACGATCCTCCCATCATTGATTTTAAAAAAATTGTTTGTTTTTCAAACAATTTCCAACATGCCCGATCACTCAAATTCGATGGCCGCACAGATATTGGCTGATGCTGCTTCCGACTAATGGTGTGAAATTTGAAAGAAAATTTTTAGTTACGATTTTCAAAAGAAAATTATTTCAGAAATCAAACCATGTATGGCCTACATAAGGATAGATAGAGGCTTTATCCTGCCCAAAGTAAACACACAAATACGTGCAGGAGAGCTTTGTTCAACAAGTTCATAGCATAAAACAAACAAAATATCAGCATGGCCAAACCACTAACTAAGTTCATGTCAGTTCCTGAGTAACAAGATGTCCCCAAATGGGTTCCCAAGACAAGTGGGCAGAACATACCTTTTGAGTGTTCTGTCAGCAGTCCTCTCAGGAAAAAAATAGCACAACAAAAAGATAAAACAAGAAAGGAAGTAAACTCCATAGTGCAGTATTTGAGTAAAAACAGTTTATTCAAAATAAAAAGATTGCACTCACAATTGCAAATGAATAGGTACAGTTTATCTCAGTATTTATCACAAAACCAAAAGGCTCCAATCTGCCAGCCGCTGTGTGTGATGCTGTCAATATGTCTGACTCTCCCCTACATGTTTTGTCAAGATGTGGACCTAGGGATAGAGGCTTTATCCCACCCAAGACTCTCCAAACTCTTTGGATTCCAGAACACGAGCCAGAATTTGTTAATACCTGGAAAAAAAAACCTAGGTAATGTATACGCCGTTCACAATCCTGTCCATCAGTGCTTCACTCAGCAGTCAGATAATACATTTTTTATTTACCTCTATACATCAGGTCAAAAAATAGGGACAAGTGAGCAGGATAGAGGGACAGAGATCCAAAAGATGGACAGTCCTTCCTAATGAGGGACAGTTGGGACCTAAGAAATTCTTTCCTCTTCTGCGTGTCAAGGTCCTACCTTTTCCCAGAGGCTATGTTACTCCATGTGCTGGCATCCATCTTGGATTTCTGCTGAGCATGGTGGGAATCTTTTATGCCTTCAGGTCTCTGAGGTCCATCCCCCAGAGGGGTGTGGCTGATTACATATAAGCCTGTGGTCTGCACATGCCCTTTGCACTTGTGTCTTGTGTCTTTGTCTTGCTACAGCTCTGTGTATACGCTCGTGACTCTTCTGGTATCTGACTCGGCTTGTGACTAAGACCATTCTCTGTGTTTTCCTTCGATCTGACCTTCCGTTGCTGAACCCAGGCCGTGACCTGTGATTCTCTGTCTACTGTTCTGTACTGTTTTGTCCCGTTGTTGTCGACCCAGCCTGCCTGACTACGCTATTGTCCTTCCTACCTGCTACACGCCATTGGCGGCAGCCATTACCGCAGCTGGGGTGTCTCGGGGGCCGCGACCTGGTTCCTGGCTGCGTCAAGTCCATCCCCACCATCAGGGGCCCTGGTGAAGGGCAGCCTGGGACTTAGACTCCGCGCCCTGAGGGATTTCGGCCTGTGGGTGGTGGTTGTCGTCAGTCAGTGCGTTACTTTGCTATTAGGCCTGCCTGCCCGTTCCCCAGTCCTGCCCTGACACTGCGCTACATAAATAATATGAATACAATATAAATCTGCTCCTGACCACTTCTTAATTGTGTGTGTGTGCTTTGTGTGAAAATGTGCCTAATGCTAAATCTGGTGTAGACCTTTACAAAAGTGTTCCACTTGCCTGTCCTAGATTCCAGATATGGGGCTCCCAATAACCCAAATAAACTGTTCCATATTCTGCTCAATAGATGCAGCCTGATTGTCAATAGATATAGTTACATAGTTAGTCTGGCTGAAAAAAGACAAAAGTTCATCTAGTTCAACCATTAAAAAA